ATTTTAACAGTAAAATTTTACAGTAACTTGTTGTTCTGTCATTTATAGAGTTTAACTGTATATCACAATGCATCATGGGTACAAAATAATTACAGTAGCTGGCAGCTTTTTTCAAAAGTAACATACTGTAACATTACAAGCAAGTTGTGTTCTGGCTGCAGATGATGTTAAATGCTGTGTTTTTAACCCAGATAGATTTGGGATTCAACACAAGCTCAGTTTGCACCTTATGAATATTTTTATTATCTAACTGAAGCCATCTCAACATCAGCTAAAACTCTCTAGGAAAAAGAAAGCATTTACACGTAAACCACATGAAGTTCCTCAGTGGAGGGGTTTGGCCCAGTACAGCACTTAAGCCACATGTTAAAACTATATATATTGTTCATGTAAAATGCAGCCTTTATATCTAAACCTGCATAGAAAAATCTATTTACCACACAATAAACATAAGTAGCCCCTCACAGCATTAACCTTATGAATAAGAAATGTTGACTGAAGCCCAAAGATACAGCACCCGAATAGGCAAATGTTAGTGTTTTTCCATCACAGGAACATAATGAGTCATAATCTGGAGCTTCTCATACGTCTAACCTGGAGGAACGTGAACGGACTGATGATGGTTCCGCTTTGCTTTTACATGGCATTTTTCACTGTGTCAATCACTGGCCTAGGTTCCTCTACTTCCTTTTCCACCAGAGGAGATCTAAATTTACTTACATACTTCCACACCCCCAATAAGTATCTGGAACTTGATTTAGTAGGCTACTACCTCCTTGAGGTGTGCCAAAATTTAGCTCCGAGAACTTGTCTCCAAAGTTGGCAGAGGGCAGCAGAAACTTAAGCAGAACCCGGGACATGAGGCTCAAGTTCATGGATTTGAAACAAATCAATTGAAAACTTCCTCTTCTCCACTTCATGTCCTCATCTACTTCCCAGATCAAAAAAAAATTCTCTATAGAAAACTGCTATCCCACTCCTCTGAGCAAAGACGCCTAAGTGAGAGGGAGCAAGAGTAAGAGGGAGAGTGAATAGGTAGTACATTTCAGAAGAAGGGGAGAGTGTTTATTCAGCTGTGCTAATGTTAGGACATTTAGAGCTGCAGAGAAAAATACTTACTACAAAGTTCTCTCAGTTTCACTTACAGTCAATAGGAAGCAGGCACATGTGCTCTCTTTTATACACACCACTCATGAAGTGTGCATGAGTGAATGCACGAATTGTGCCTTTGTATTACTTACATTTAGGGGACCAAAACCTGCTAACACACTCACATTGTGGGGACTCGGCCATCCAAGGAAATCACTGAATTTTAGGGTGGCAACATGGTTTAAGGTTAGGTGTTAGGAAAGGGTTAGGCAAGTAGTGGTTATGGTTAAGTGTTAGGATAAGTCTATAGAAAATGAATGTAAGTCAATGTAAAGTTCCCACAAGGAATGAAAACATAGTGTGTGTGTGTATCCATGTGTGGGTGGGTGAGAGACAGCTCGTAATAGATCAGAGAAAATGCAGTTTTGGTCCACAAAGCAGGGCCAGATGTGGAACAGAAACCAGATCCCTGGACAAAGCGTAATGGGCCATCCACTGATTTAACCAGTCCAGAAACAACCTCATACACATACGCACACATACACATGCACACAGACAGTTTAGGTGTTTTCATTTACTGTATATCTGCAAGAAGAGATGCACAAAAACACACCTGACAAATCTAACACAACTGTCCAATATTTCAACTGTCCAGACTGAATTAAAAAGGTCAAAAACATACTCTAAAAAATTTTAATTAAAATTTAATTTGACCAAAGCCTATTTGAGGCCATATAATATGAACAATGAGGCGTGTTGTCTTTAAAATGTGCACTGTGCACGGGTGACTGTTCTCACAAAAACCTTCAGTGATAGCTTGCAAAATCCTGGCTTTAAAGCTAACCCTAAAAATATTTTGAAAATTTGTATCGTCAGTGAAGAGCTTGCCCCTAAAAGATTTTTCTTTTTTAACAAATATAAGCCCTTGAAATTCACCAATGATTAATGAAAAGTATCTTTTCACTTTGTTAATTGAAGGTTAAATACAAACCACTAAACATGAACATATGTTTTTGCTATATCACAAAAAGGGCAAAGAATACACAGAAAGTATGAACATGTAATTTTTTTTTAGCTTTACTATAATCTTTATGGAAAAGAGAAGTCCAATTTTAGTAAATAAATGCAAATTTTCATCATCTGTCTGTCAAAAGTGTGTTTTTAATTAGGCTCTAAATATCTGAGCATCCCATTACCCATTATCTAAAACTTTATTATCAGCACCATTGTAGTATTAACAATGCCTGCCATAGTGAATATTGCATTTCCAAATTGAATATTTAAATGAACTCCTCACCTGGTCGACACCTCTTATCAGCCCCATTGTGGTAAAAGACAAAGCATTACATTAAAGTGAATAGTATATTTCATCTCCATCCTGTAGAAATTCTGTACTTTCAGTTAAACTATTTTCTCTGTGACATTGTCCTGTTTGTGTGTAGAAAATGTGTTTTGACCATGTGAGCAACTCACTAATAAAGGATCAGTGTCAACAATACACAGCCGGCAACAGGGAAGTTAAATGCACTTGTCTCAGTTACAATACAATCGCAATATTACAAAAGCAAGGCTCAATAGCAATTCATGATTTAGCATCTGAATGAAGGCCTTGAGGAAGAAACCAATTACCCTTTTTTCTACAGTGCGATGCACCTGAGTCAGTTCCTGCTGTACACGTTCTAACTCTTTGGTGCTATCGTGCAACTGGTCCTGTATCTGCTGCTTTCTGTGTTCAGACTGCTTTTGGTCTGATCCAGGGTTTCGCTGATGTAACATAATGTGCACTCATTTGTTTGTAACTAAGTGGTGGGCAGAGAAAGAAGGGAAAAGGGATGAGTATGTCTTCTGGTTGATGGTTTGAGAGAGACAGGCAGGCAACCTACTGTGGAGAGAGAATGCAGCAGAGGCACACAAGCAGAAGAAACGGGTTTTAGCAGAAGAAGAAGGTGTTGTAAAGTATCATTTTGGGATGTTTGCCTCTGTTCTGTCTCCATAGCAGTGAAAGGGGACATCATAAAGGCTCTTTACCAGGTTGGGGCACCCTACAGTTGCTTTGACTCAGGACTAGTAAGACTACACATTGTAAAGTCACAGGACACTAGTGTTAGAGCAGTGCTTCTTGAGGTCCGTTTGCTATCTGCTCCCCATCAGACAAGACAAACAATATGCTTTTTTAAAACATAGATCCTGGGAATACATCACATTTTCTTAATGTTAGTTCATCACTCTAGATGTTTAGTTGCAGTATGCAAAGTGAGCCCCAAAACATCAGTAATGTGAGGAAGCGCAAACACAGTTCTAAAAATATCACATTTAAAATGCTGCCACATCCTGAGTAGACCAAAGATGTCACAAAGATAAAAGTAAATAGTCCTTAAAAAGTAACAACAAAAATTGGCATTAAGCAGATAAGTAACTAACACATTTATGGTAAATGTACTTCATGTAGTTTGGGGGTAGGCAACCACACCACTAAAACATTAGTACAGTAGCAGATGAATGACTTGGTTTGGTCAAGGACACAGTAAATGGGTTAATTTAAGCCTAAAACACATCACTGACACATTTTTCTGATATACCTAAAGGTGTGAGAGGAGGATGGAAAGGAGGAGAGAGAAAGGAATACAGTGGGACAGAGACAGACAGGGGGACAATGGGAGAAACCTAAAGGCCATTCAATTCATCATGCATATGACTCTTTAATGTTCCCATTCATTACCACTGATTCTTACTGGGGTGAAGGTAAGACTGGACAAGCAAGATGAGAAAGAAAAAGAAATACAAAAAAGAAAGCAAAATAATAATAATAATAATAATAATCTAAAAAATAATAATAACTAAAAAAAAAACAATAACAGTCATCTACTCATGGTCCCTCTCTTGGACAGGTGAAATTCATAAGAACATTGTTCTTTATTGTACAATGAACCAACCCTCTGTGGAGCTAATATGGTGGCAATGAGTTATTAAATATGGAGAGGGTTAGAGAGAGAAGGTGGAGGAGGAGGGGAAGAAGGAAGGATGATTAACTGCAAAGGACGTTAAAATGAGGAGAATTCCCAGATGTACCTGGCTGGATTTGATTTAAAGAAAGCTGCCCAGTTCTGTTCCCTATTTAAGAAGAGCTCCCTTGCCTGTGTGTGTACTTAGAGTATATGGCTATACACTGTGAGGACAAGTTTGAGTTTTAGACAATGGGGATGAGGACATTTTGGCCAGTCCTCATTTTTAGACACACCTTCAACATGTTGTTTGATGCTTAAGGTTTAGTTTAGGGTTTTAAGCTAAAGAGTTAGGGAATGCAACTATAGAAAGACAACTCTGTTTGTGCATGCATGCCTGGTATTACTCAGACCAGTATGTGTGTTTTACCTACTTTGCTCTGCAGTGTAGCCAAACTTTCTTTGAGCTGTGTGTTGTCCTGGACGAGCTGTTGTGTGTGTTTCTCCTTCTGAGCCAAAGTTTTCTTCAGAGAGTCCTGTGTAGTTCGCAAACCAGCCAATTCCTGGTCCAGCTGCCTCACGTGTTCCTCTCTCTCTTTTATCTAACACACACACACACACATAAACACCAGAACATTCTGCACTGTAAGTAGTTTTACTATCCTTAAGCAATCCTTGGTCTGCTTTACATCCTATATTACATTGAAAACAATACAGGAGCATGCAATTTGATGTGATACCTCATCAGTTTTTTTGGGTTGTACCTACCTTGTGTCCATGCAAATATGAAAAGGGGGTGCCTTATTGTTAGTGTTCTTTGTAGATTGACCAAGTAGAACCAGTCTACACAATTGTCAAGATATGAAGTGACAAATGGATGTCAAAGTAAATAGTTCACTTGATGCATTTGACATTATGATTACATTTTCATGGCTGTACCTAAGACAAATTCTTAGCTATAATTTAGCTGATAATATTTCACTGGTCAGTGGTTGTTATGGTTGTTATCTTGTATGCATTAGAAACCACTGTGTGTGCACAGTAACATTCTTTGTGCCAAAAGATCTTGTGAAAGTCAAGTCTCTTGTGTGCACCAGATCTCTATTGTCTATCCAGTAATGTTGGCAGATATACTCAAGATGCAGTAACTTCATATGAAACAGCCTCACTGTGTTTTATCATGTGTATTCATTCCATTTATTTAAAAAAAAGACTTATTTAGTCTAATCATTCTGGCATCTTTTAAAACTGACACATACTTATCATCTTATCTATGTATGCTAAAACTAAAACAAAACAAATGTTTTCCTGTATTACTGTAGGGGAACCAGAGTGATTATTTCCAAGATGCAGACAGTGGTTGAACTCTTCACCCCAAGAAGGAGTGAGAGAGTGTGTGGGCCTGTGGTTCAGAACCCCTTGCCAAATCAAAGCCCCTATTCATTAGCACTGTGTTAAATTAGCCCTGTATTAGATTAGGAAGAGGGCTCTACGGACAGTGAACACACATACAAACACACACTCACACTTCATGTACATATACGCATGTATAAACACTTTTGTATGCACATGAGGGTACAAGTACACACCCATCAACATTTTTGAATGGATTATTCATAGTGGGTACATAAAATGTAGCATCCTTCTTAACTACAGATCTCTCTCAAGCGCTACTGTTGTCTCCTTTAACAGCAGACTTGTGTTCTGGACTGTGGTTGTGTCTTGGCTTTGACACAGCCACCCTCTGCCTCCTTCAGAGAGCTCTCCAACTTTAATTATAAGCAATGGGGCAGCCAGTATTGTGACACTCAATTAAAATTACCCTTTTATCTGGATAGTCCACCAATTTCAGTGCGATTATTGGGAAATACGTTTTGAAAAACTGAGACAATAATGTGAATTTCGGTGCATCAGCCAAGTGGATTGCAGAAGCACAGCTCAACATATTAAGCAAGTGGGTAAAGGTTTGTCTTCTCTATGTTAACCAATAGTGTAAGAGAACTGTGAAGCACAGCAATTTTTATGCATTTGAAATATTATTACCATCAAAATTAAATCATGTTAAAGCAATGATATCCTCTAAAATTCAGCTACTGCAACTGTTCTACTGTACTTAACTAAAATCCATGCTCTATTAGGTAAAATCAATATTGCATGTCCAAAAGGCATTGTATACTTACAGTATATGTAAATAGTTCACAAAAATCTTTTTATATTGCCAACGCCAAACTATTTTAGCATATACTTGAGGCTGTGCATTTAGGTACTAGCAGGGCCTAAGATACTGCCAATTATGAGCTCAGTGAGTACAAATGCTCCCAAGACAGCAGTGTCTGTCCTGTGCTGCCTAGAAGTTGTCTCTAAAGAATATTGATAGAAATTCCCATCAATAAATTTCCAACCGCATTTAAAATGTCAAGATCTGAAACCTATGTGTTCATAAAAATTGTAAAACTGATTGTTTTCTTGGTATTAACGAGGGATCTAGTACACTGAATTTTTTATGGGATGCAATAAAGGAGTATCTTATAGGACAAATTATATCCTATGCATCACAGAGGCGGGAGCAGTATCCCTTTTTTAAGTTTCTTCAAATCAGACACTACATTATTATATCATGTAGGGAATTTATCACCATCTTTATTACCACTGGATGATTTGATAGATGATATAGCAGAGGCGGAGCAGCTGAGTTGCCATATATATTCCGACCTGAATAGTCTAATTGGCCATTGAAGTACACGAAGAAAATGGGAGGATGATCTCAATGTAAAAATTAATGATGACTGCTGGGAAAGCATCATTGTTAGCAGTCAAAAGTTTTCATTCAACACTGCATACATATTTACATTATAATCTGACTCAGAGTTATATCTGACTGACATGAGAGGCTTCATGCAATAAATTTCAAAGTACAACTTAAGCGGTTGGGTATCTCAAAAGGCTATCATATTTCTTTTACCTATATCCTTGTTTCTAATTTGTTATGAATCACAAAATCTCAAAAAAATCAGTAAAACAGTAGACTGACGTTTAGACAGTCCCATGCACTGTAGGTCAACTCCTCTCAATCTGACGGGCAGCTAGTTAAAGAACATACAGTTTGGCAAAATCGCTTCCATAGCCCAAGGTCTTCATGCCACTGACTTTTAGAATTCCATAAGCCTGTTACATAATTAACACACTACAGTGCTTTTTTCACATCTCCAAATCTGCCACCATCAGAAATGACTGATGTGGTCTGTGTGAAGCCTCAATTCTCTAGTGGGAAGAGCTGGGGACCTTGGCTGGAAGTCTGGAAGAAAGAATATCAGATTTGCAATTTTATTTCAAATGAGCGCTTAAGCCTTGGATGTTCATATTAGTAGCGCCCCTATTGAGAGAGAAACTTCAATCTGATCAAGTATCATTACTTTAGCAATCAAAGTTTCACCCCAGGGTTCCTCCTCTCAACTCCTGGCCTCTGACTTCTCCTTTTCGTCATCTTCCCATCTTTCCTTTTTTCTCTCCTGCTAGCCATCATATGTTTTTGCCACCAGTGGAAAAAAGAGAGGGAAAGTTTTCCTGATTGGCTGAAGTTTATCCTCCATCTAGGATTATGAATAGAAATGGAACATTTGAGGACAAAGGAAGGAGGAGTGAGTTGGGAAGAGACAGGGAGAGAGAAAAAAAAGGAACTGAGTGTGAGAGAGTGATGTGAGTTTCAGAGTTATGGGCACAGAGAGAGAAGGTGGCTAATATAATTGAATTAAAAAGATGGAGCAGGGCCATTTCTAAGCAGGTGGGAGTGTGAAGTGCGAAAGAGCAGGCGAGATATTAACTTCCAATAAAAGAGAGATTAGAAAGTGGCTAGGAGGACTGCTCTGCCTTTACCTGTGGGAGTGACGGCCCCCACATAACCTTTCACTGCAATATGCACACTGATATTGACCATGATATAGTGAATGTACCACACACAGACAGACAAATACAGTACCTACTGTATATGCAGAAATATGTGACATTTGAGGAGGGACATAAGTGTGCACAAAGGTACACACACACACCCACACAAGTGTGACAGCAATGTATTCACCTTTCATTTAGTGGCCCACCAGGAGGCAGGCATCAGATAATGAAGACATAGCTTTTGGGGAAGCCACTGCTATACAGACAATTAATTAACTAATTGCTCTAACAAGCTTATTAATGCCATGCTTTTTGGCAGCCAGTGTGAATACATTAACAAAGCCAATTCAATTAAACAGGTGCAGATTTCACAGCTGCCTCTTTAATGAGTGTGCACACACACACGCACACAAATCCTACAGGTGTTGTGTGCATGTTCACTCCATTTGACTCTGATGTCTTTCTCAGTGAAACCTTGGCATTTGATCCAAAGCATAATTATATGCAGATGAAGTGGTGTGCACTGTGTTTGTGTGTGTGCATCTCTGGCAGTGCTCTCGCCTCAGTGGGCCAGTGTCCCAGTCATATTTGCAAAAGCTATCGTGTAGCAAAGATACACGTCACAGCCTTAGCAATGTTGTTTTTTTGTTCCTAAACCTAAACACAAACGGAATATATTAGAGATACTTTGGTGATGTAAGATGCTAAAACATAGATGATGATTGTGGTGCAACAGTACACATTTTTTTTGAGGTGGGGAGTAGGTTGCAGAGAGGCAGACAGAGAACCGGAGAGACTGAGAGGAAGACCTGTGAGATATGTCAGTGGTCAGACTTGATCTGGCAAAGCCACACACTGCATGGCATCGGACGGCCACGAGTCTCAATTTCATATCTCTGTGACTCAAGTGTACATGGGAGGCACAAGTTGGAGCTAGTTGGAACCCTGTTTATTTAGTTAAATGCTTGAAGTGCATTTTAAACAGCTTGATTACATCAGTTCAATTTAGGGCTATTTTATTTTCCTGAAATTCTATGCTCTTACATTAATGAAATTAAACTCTCTTATTGTATGTGTCAAAAATGCAATTTTTGTAGTTTCACCAAAAATAATTATGTACAAAGTAATACAAACACCTATGTTTCTAGTACACTCACTTTTGTTTTGTCAGAATGGATAAATATTGACCCCTACATTTGCACCCAAGCTAACACTTTGCTACTCTATCATCAGGTTAACTGCAGCTGCTCCCAGGGTGTAGCTTTTCCTCTTCATCTGATCATGTTAGTCCACATCACCTGCTTGCATATCCTGGAACCTTGCCTAGGAAACTGTGAAGTGATTTGGAAAAATAAAAACTATAACAAAAAATAAAGTGTGAGAAAGAGATGTGATATAAGGTAAAATGCTAATACAATCATTCAGGCTGCTGTTTGCCCACAGAATAACCAACATATCGGCCCTGTGTCATTACAGCTATATGAGAAATAATATTGTATGAAATTATATTGCACAGCACATGCATGCCTGTTTAATGAACAGCCACCTGTCCCCACCTCTCTCTGGCACATACACAAGGTGACACAAAGGTGCTAAACTTTGCACAGATGCGCACAGTGCTAAACATTTAAGCTTAAGACTTTCAGTTTATCTTCCTTTATACTGTAAAAAAAATGCCATTAAAATGAAATGTTTTCAGCTTGTTCAGGAAAAT